AAATGTGCAATTAAGCTTATCTAGAGATTTTTTTCCTTTCAGTTATTATAATCTTCTCTTCTGGAATATCTACTTGTTTCTTTTTATAATTCCATTTTGCTGCTGAGATTCCTTATCTTTTCTCTCATTAAAATACATTTTTAATTTTTTGAATATATTTTCATTTAGTTCTTTGCACTGTTTATATTAACTGCTTTAAAGTCTTGCGTGCCAAGTAGGTTCATCCTTTTCCTTATTTGTCTAGCTTATAGACAACATTTTTCTTTTCATGTTTGTTAATTTCTGTGTAAAGGACATTGTCACTATGGATGATACATTTTAGAGACCTCCAGATTCTGTGGTCTTCCTCCATAGAATAGTGATTTTTGTTGTTGTTCTTATGGGCTGTTCAGTTATTGGTTAATTACCTCTAACTTGTGTAAACTTGGCGTTACATTCCATTAAGGCAAATATGTGGAAAGTCAGAGATATTTCCCAATCTAATCTACAAGCTCTGTCTCTTCTGAGGATCTTATAAAAATTTGGTTTTAGACTTAATTGGGTAGGTTTAGGATAAGCCTAAAGTGTGGCCTTTGTGGTGTTTTGACTGAATGCCCAGGTATTCCCAAGTTGTTAGGAAGATGCCTCTAGTTTGTTTGGGCTGGGCCTTCAATATATCTCACAGCACTGTGTGATCTGTGGTATCTATTCTATTTTCTACCTTATATCAGCCATTGCCTTGTTATTTACCCAATGCATGCACCCCATGTGCCAAACGCACATACATCCCAGCCATGGTCAAGGACTGGCAGTGGTTCCTGGTGGCAGTTCTCATCTCCCCTAGTGCCCTATACTTAAGATTCCAGCTTCTTCAGTTGTCCTGAACTCTGATCTTTACCTTCCCAGTTCAGTAGAGTTTTGGGTCTCTGCTTGGACTGTGTTTGTGCCCAGGAATGATAGTGGAGCTCAACTTAGGAGGATGTCAGTATCACACTGCATATTTCCTAATACCTGGGAATGGTCACCTCCTACATTTCATACCATTTAGTGCTTGTTAACAGTGGGAGGTGAGAAGTAGCCTCATTATAGTCTGAAGTAGACCCCCATGGTTCTTCACTTTGAAATTGATAGTGTATATGCTAAGCCCAGTTAAAGAAAACTTTTTTTTTCACTTTTTATTTTTTTTATTATTTTTTTAAAATAAATTAATTTTTATTGGAGTTCAATTTACCAACATACAGAATAACACCCAGTGCTCATCCCGTCAAGTGTCCCCCTCCATGCCCGGCACCCATTCACCCCCACCCCCCGCCCTCCTCCCCTTCCACCACCCCTAGTTCATTTCCCAGAGTTAGGAGTCTTTATGTTCTGTCTCCCTTTCTGATATTTCCCACACATTTCTTCTCCCTTCCCTTATATTCCCTTTCACTATTATTCATATTCCCCAAATGAATGAGAACATACACTGTTTGTCCTTCTCCGATTGACTTCACTCAGCATAATACCCTCCAGTTCCATCCACGTTGAAGCAAATGGTGGGTATTTGTCGTTTCTAATGGCTGAATAATATTCCATTGTATACATAAACCACATCTTCTTTATCCATTCATCTTTCTATGGACACCGAGGCTCCTTCCACAGTTTGGCTATTGTGGACATGGCTGCTAGAAACATCGGGGTGCAGGTGTCCTGGCGTTTCATTGCATCTGAATCTTTGGGGTAAATCCCCAACAGTGCAATTGCTGGGTCGTAGGGCAGGTCTATTTTTAACTCTTTGAGGAACCTCCACAGTTTTCCAGAGTGGCTGCACCAGTTCACATTCCCACCAACAGTGTAAGAGTGTTCCAGTTAAAGAAAACTTAAATGTTGTTTGGAATCAGATTTACTGGCGGGGGGGTGGGGGGGGTAGGGTGGGGAGTGGGGAATGCGGGGTGGGGTGGGGGGTGTCAAACAAATTAGAAGTGCTATATTCAGTCTTTGAATTAAAGTCTTTGTGTTAAATTAAGCAAGGATGTTTACTATCTTAACATATGCATATAGTATGTGTATATAAATGCACAAAGATGTATGCATATCTGTATATCTATATCGTGTCCTGTAATGTCTTTATATACTATACTATACTAGTAAGATCATTTCTATATTCTAATCCTGATAATTAATTTATCATGAATCATGCCCCAGAGCACAGGGAGAAATATAGAGCTATTCTGTGGTGTCAAGGTAAGAGTTTCCAGAAAAGAGATACTCCTTTATTATTATTATTTTAGGATGACAATAGAGAAACTTTCTTTTTAGTACTACCCTTATAATAACTTGGTGTTCTCTCTTTTAACCAAGTTACCAAATGTTACATTGGCAATATTGGGACAAACCAACCTCCTCCTAATAAGATGGAATGAAAAAGGACACAATGTCATGTTAGCGTTAATCTTGCCAAAATGTAGTAAGTCTAGTCATTAGGAAACATCAGACAAATCCAAATTGGGAGACATTTAATGATTGGCTGTGCTCTTCAAAAATGTCGAGATCAAGAAACACAAAGGCTGTTCTAGATTAAAGGAGATACAGTTGATATGATATCTACAGGCAGTTCGTGAATTGGATCTTGAATTGGGAAAAAATAGAAATAAATGTCATTATTGTGAAAATTGATAAAGCTTGACTGTAGATTGTGCATTAAGTAATGTTATTGTGTTCTATTACATTGCCTGGTTTTGATAATGACTGTGGTTGTGGAGGATAGCATCTTTGTTTTAAGGAAATATACAGTGAAGCTTTTAGGACAAAGAAGCATGATGTCTCTAGCTTTCTCACAAATGGCTTAGAAAATAGTTTTATGTACAAGTAGATATAGATATAAGAAATGATAAAGCACATCAGGCAAAATATAAACAGTTTGTGAATCTGGATGGAGGCATATGGGTATGCCTTCTAATATTATTGCAACTTTTCTTTAAATTTAATATTATACTAAAGCAAAAATTATAGCAGAAAAATCAAATTTAGACATATCTCTATGGTTGCAAGAACAGAGATCCATCAAGCTTCCCTGAAATAAAAAGGAATACAAAAAACCTTCAAATTCAAATATGCCTAGTGTCATGGAGACTATTAGGGCCTGAGTTTGCTTAGTGAATATTTCAGATGCTGTGTGGCTTCTAGTCTTTGCAGTGTTGGTTATGTGCTTTGCTGTGTTCTGTATAATGGATTCATCTGCTTTCTCTTGGTTGCTGCCCCTCTAGAACTTATTTGTTCCTCAAAGTTGCTAACTTGCTATCCTAGTTTCAGATTCTTAAGAGAGAGCATTAGAACGATTATTCTCCAACTAATGGATTGGTTAAGCATATGTCAGGTGTTTATTCCTAATCTGGTCAACCAGGATTGAAAAGTGGGACAGATGGGGAGGAGGTGGATTGGGTTATGGCAACATAGTTCCATGGCATTTAAGGCTGATCCTCAGAAGCCAAGGGTATGACAAATTCTCTTGAAGGTGTTGTGGAAAGATATGGCAGTGAATTCTGTCTCCTGTATCTGCCCAGCATGCTTATATTGCTTTTTGAGTTTATTTTTCAATAGAGTTCTAAAATGCTTCTGTTTAGGATCTTCATGTAGACTTAGATCACCCAGTCCCCTTTCTGCTAGAATGAGGAAGAAGTGACAAAGGGAGTTAGAGGCAAAAGAATGGAATCACTAAGTATTTCTTCCTTTTGTGTAGTAAATGGATGACTGCTTTCCTCTCCACCGCTCAGTGTTTAAAAAATCATGAGACTGTGTTAACTTTGTAAAGGTTTTAAATTTCATTTTACTATGTTGATTTGATCATGCATGTTTATCTTAAGTTCAGATTCATTACTTTTTTGAAATAGCAATTGAAAAATATAAAGTGTTTCAAAAATTTTCAAGAGAGTATTTTGACAGTACATTTGTATTATTTTAAAAGAAAATTTTCCTGAAGGTTGTAGGCTAATTTTTTTGAGTACCTACTTTGTGCCAAGTAGTGTTCTAAATGTAGCTACTTAAATGATACTATTAAAATAAGCTTCACTGCTCATTGAGGTAAGGATAATTAATCTTAACTAGCAGGAGAGGAAATAGAGTCTCGAAATGGTGACTTGCCCAAAGTCACAATAGTTACTGTAGTGGGAGGAGAATTCACAATAGAATTGAAGTCTGTCAGACTGTAGTGTATATATTCTTTCAAAGGGTAAGGGCAAAAAAACCAAACAAACAAACAAACAAACAAACAAAAAAAAAAAACAAAGGGTAAGGGCATCAGATGGTCCCAAACTTTTACATTTGAGATAATCAATTTCACATTATTCATCTTAAAACCTGCCACTATTGTTCTAATTCTGAGTTGTGCCGGTTATTATCTACAAGGATTGGTTACATTTTTGACTGGCTTTGCTTAGAACACTGGTACAGTAGATATTGGTTTGATAAGGATAGGGGTTGTTAATGAATGCTCAAAAGGAGATCAAGTTACCTCCTTGAAGTAGTTGGGATCTACAATTCCAGGAGATAGAACTGGAAGATCTATTAAGAGAAATGTGCAGTTATCAGTAATATGCCATAATTGTGGGCATCCACTCTCAACTTGTCATAATCAAGTATGTAGGTAAATAAGAGTAGTTTTAATGAGCATGTAGATATGAGAATAAAACAGTAAAAAAGGTTAAATAGAGACTCAAATTAAAAATAGTAAACAAAGGCTGAACTACTTTGGGATTTAGCAAAAATAACTTCTTTTGAGGAGTGGCAGGAGGGGGGATGACTGCTGAATCTGTATTTAGTAGTCTCAGTTTTGCCTTTCCAGTGAAATGTATTTGAAAATTAGCCTGGAAGTAAGCAAAGAATGTAATGAATGTGTTGGTAAAATGATGTGATCGCTAGACCAGTGACTATAAGAAAAAAGTGGAAAGTGATACTCTCACATCGGGAATTATTTTAGTTTAATTGTGTGCTTTTGCCAAAGGGAAAAGTATGTTAATAACACCTTTAAAATGTTTTTCTTGAAGTTGGACATAAAAACAAAAATGTTGGAAGCTAAATGTCATGAGGAGAAGCTTAAACTGCAGCAGAAACATGATGCCGATGTTCAGAAGGTAGGGTATCTCCTGGAATATTCTTTTATTAATATTGAATACTCAGAATAGTCTACCTCTTGTGACCATCATCCCACCATCCATTTATTTATGTACTTATAACAGTGTGCTGTAAATGGAATTGGTTGAATTAATAATTTGGCAAAGCTGATCTGTAAACTTCATTTTCTAAACAAATGTATTTAAGTAAATATCCTTATAGCTTGCATTGTTTGTTAGTTCTTCCTCTGTTGTTTGAAGGCTGGACTTACAGTCCGTAATTATTACTTTTTGTAAAAGCTGAAGTAAGACATCAGCTGTAAACACCAGTGTTTGTTTGAGTCTGATACTCTTTTGGGTTTCTGGAAATTAACATTTTCTTTTTAATTAGAAAAGGAACTTTTGTACCTAGTTCTGTTTGGTGTAGACTGCATGTATCATGATGGTAGCACTGAATGTAGGCTTCTTTTTTCAGTAGTTCATTGGGATTTATGCCTTTTAATGTTTCAATTTGTTTTTTTTAAAGAAAACTTATTTTTCTTAATGGGCACAGCACCAATAAGCAATTTATAGTTATCCTACATGGAATTTGAATGAATGTTAGTATATTTTAGTATTGATTTAAAAAGTTGGGTGGTGTTTTTACATATTTTAATACATGAAGGTCAATCCAAATAGAAACTTGGCATTTACTGTTTCACAATGAAGCCTGATCCTGCCTCACAAAACTGAGTGACAGAGATGGTGGCAGAGACTTGAGGGCACACATCACATATCCACACTTTCTCAAAAGCTGAAAATATATTAATATTTAGTCAGGTGCCTATTTGGCTTTTTTCTTTCAAAGCAACAAGAGGGAAACCACGGATTGAAAATTAGAGAAAAATATTGAATCCTTTTCCTTCTTCTTTCTTTCCCATTCACATCTTAAAGGCCAGTATTACTTTCTGCTCTTACTAGAATTTTACCTTAGCTTAAATTGGTTAGATAAAAACAGCTCTCTGTCACAAATATGTTAGAGATTTAGTAATGTAATTTTAATATAACATAATGTATATCCAAATGAAATAGAATCTAGTGATGTATAAGATAAACAAGTATAAAAATAAACTTGGAAAAATCATAGTAATAGAGTTTGAAATAGGCTCCTTGGTATGTCCGTTACAAAAATCTATTCTAAGAAAAACATTTAATAATAAAATTCTTTCCAGGAATTCCTCTTTTAAAATAAATTCTGCGTGAAAAAAGAAAGCAATGCAGCTAGTTTGAAACGCCAGGTAAAATATAAATAAAATCCTTGACCTTATGCCAGATTTGGAAAGTATATTCATCGGTTTGTTGCTTGGATGGCATTTTCTAAGTGTCAGAAATTGGGGAGGAACAAAATTAGAGTGTTTTATCTTTTTGTGGACATTTTTTCCTTTTATGCTTGTTTATGAACATTAGGATCAAACTAGCTCCTTTTCTTATTTACCAATCATTCTTAGAGTTTGAACTAAAACTTTTACTGATAGTAAAAGCACTAAGAAAAAGTTAGATGTTTGTGAATAATGCCTCCTGCCATTTTTTAAAAAATTTTTAATTAATTTATATTTTTCTGCCATTTTTTTTAAAGCTGAATTTGGGTGTATAGGAAATATACTCTAACCATAAGAAAAATGGATATTCATACCCCTGCCTCAATTTGGTTTTCTTTTTTCCCCTTTGTTAGCACATTTTTTGTCCTACTTGCTGGCTACTATGTTTTGGTTATTTCTCTATTTTTTTTTTGGGGGGGGGGGATATGTGTGTGTAGATATATTTAGAAGTATAAAATCATGATTCAATCTTATAAAATGATTCATTTAAAACTTCTGACATAGGGGATCCCTGGGTGGCGCAGCGGTTTGGCGCCTGCCTTTGGCCCAGGGTGTGATCCTGGAGACCCGGGATCGAATCCCACGTCGGGCTCCCGGTGCATGGAGCCTGCTTCTCCCTCTGCCTGTGTCTCTGCCTCTCTCTCTCTCTCTCACTGTGTGCCTATCATAAATAAATAAAAAAAAAAATCCAAAACTTCTGACATAGTACAATTAATGATGTAAAAAATTCACGCAATTTTTGGCTTGTTTTGAACTTATTTTTTGATTCATAATAGCAGAGCTAGATATAAAAGAAGCCTATTATAGCACATCTTCCCATATCTTGGGTTCTTGTTATTATGCGTGAAAAAGAAAGGACACCAGAGGGAGGATCCAGGGACCACTCATCTGAAGATGTTCTGTCCCAGTGCAGTGGGGAGGGGATTTTGCTGAGCCAACATGCCAATTTTCTGATGGTTTCTCTTTGCTACTTTATGACACTTTAATCTCGGAATTATATCTTAGAGACTCACCTAATTTATTATTTAGATTCTCAAGAATTGATACATTAGAATTGGAAGCTGATAACATTTCTTTCAGTAATCAGTTATTATATTTGATATTTCCTCAATGCATTAAACTATAATTTTTACATCTTTTTTTTGGAAACCATTAATGGGATTAGCTGAGATAGACTTGCAAAAAAATATTGTGCTTGTTTTAAAAAGTTATGTGTCCTATGTATAAAAAATAGTTTACTAAAGCATTTTAAATTCATTTGCAGATTTTAGAAAGAAAGAATAATGAAATAGAAGAATTGAAAACTTTATACAAAAAGAAGCAATATGAAATGGAGGAGACTATTAGAAAACTTGAAATGAAAGGTGATGTTTTATTACATTAGTTTTTAAAAAGCATTCGCATTTTACTTTATTGGCTATATAAAGTAAAACTTTATTTCTGACATGGGGATATTTCTGTGGATTTTCATATGTATGAGGAAAAACTGTGGGTGTGTATGAAGGCATGCGGTGTGATATGTGTGTGTGATGTGTATGTGCAGGTGGTATGTGTATATGTGCGTATATGTATGGGGTGTGGGATATGTGTATATATGGATGTGTATGTGTGTGTATAGGGTACATGGGGTAGGTGTGTGTGGGTGTGTTTATGTGGTATGTGGTGTATATGATAATGTGGTGTGTGTATATATGTATGTGGGATATGGAGTATGTGATTTGTGTATGTATATGGGTGTGTGTGTGCATATGGGGTACATGGGGTATGTGGGATATGGAGAATTTCGTGTGTATGGTATGTGTGTATGTGAATGTGTGGGTATGTGGGATATGGAGTATATAGTGTGTGTATATGTGCATATGTTGTGTGTGTGTGTATGTATGCACATGGGGTGTGGTGTGTGTGTGTGTGTGTGTGTGTGGTGGTGGTAGTGGTAGTTGGTTTGGTTAAGGAGTTGGATGAGTATGTCACTCTTCCTCCCTCTTCTTAACGCTCTCTTTCCTTACTGGACTGGAACTGCCCTGGGTGGGTTATAGATTAGAGCTTACTGGCTTTCACAGGGAAGTCTAGGGAAATTACTCCTGTTGGTCTAATAAAATTCAATGCATTAATTATCTACTTTAAGCTTTGTGGTATATGCTGGCATTGTGATTGACAGAACAAACATTTAAAAAGTATTCCCCCTTTATACTTTCATTATGAAGGAAGAGAAAGCATGTAATCAAGTGTAAAATCGACTATGACTGTAGGTTACAACATTGAAATGCAACAGTGGTCAGAGAGAGTGAATGTTGAAAATATGTTTTGGAGAAAGGAACTTTAAAAGTTTTGTAAGATTTGTTTAGTTTGAAGAGTTCCGAGTACAGGGATAGGTATATGCTGTGTTGTCAGGTATGGGAAGGATGCTGCTGAACGCCTGGGCTCGAGTGGATATCCTATACCATTAGGAGGATTGAAAAGGACTAGACATGGGACATGGCCTGACTTAAGCATGACCTTGAATTTCAGACTTTGAAGTTTCAAGTTTACCTGTAGATGTTGGGAAGTCAGAGAAGATTTTTGAGAGGTGAGCTTTAGGACCTCATGTTTTAGGAAAGTAGCCTTTTAACGGTGGGTGTGCCAACAAGGTGAGGCTTGTTTCTAGTTTGCTATAATAAAAGCAACATGGAGGTGGGGTAGAGAGAGAAAGAAAGAAAGAGAGAATGCATTCTACTTATTAGAAACATGGGCTCTAATCCCAGTTCTGCTGTTTCAGTGTTTGCTATATGACATCAGGAAATTTCTGGGCCATGGCTTACTCATTATAAAATGGTGAGGTATAAAATCCCTTCCAACTCAAGGATGTTCTGCTTCCATGTTTCTGTGACTTTGCAAGTGAGGTGATAAGGACCTAGAATGCTTAAATGATGGTGAGGATGAGGAGGGTAGTGAGAGTGGAAGTGAAGAAGATATTTTGGAGGATTTGGTGAAGGTAAGGTATAGGCAATGGGAGAGGTTTCTGTTTAGGGTTTCCATATGGAACTTACTGGCTCTCTCCCAAACCACCAAGCCTGAATGTATCTGAGAGGATGGTAATGCCCTTGAAATATAGGGTGGCAATTACATATACAAGTTAATAAAATATATATTTTTAGGTTTATTTCTAGCCTTAAACGTTGGTGAGAGTAATTAGAAATTTGTTCAGGTTCTTTCGCCAAATATCAGTGGCTACAAAAATATTTAAAATTTTTTTCTAAGTTTTCGTTTCTTACTCTGATTCAAACCAGGCAATTTAAACATGCCTAAGGTTTAAAAATAATATTTCCAAAGACTTTTTGAATTGCAAACAGATCTTAGTTTTAATTTTGGAATTGTGAAGTAAAATGTTGTAGGTGCTAAAGACTATATGGTTAGCTTGGATCATTTGCCTGTTTCCCTCCTGTGTTACATAGTTGAGATACATGAGTGAAAGAAGTTTCTATGTAAATGTTTATGAAAATTTTGCAATCTTATAGTAAGTGAGGAACATGTTCCGTAAGCTAGGAAAATAGTACATTCAAGCAAACATACAACTGAATTTACTTTACCCTCCAGAATTTATTTTACATGAATATATTAAACAAATTTTCACTTAAATCAGCAGTAATTTAAATCATTTTTAAAAAAGAAGATAGAAATCTAGATGATTTATAAGGAAAATGTTTGGGATCCCTGGGTGGCGCAGCGGTTTGGCGCCTGCCTTTGGCCCAGGGCGCGATCCTGGAGACCCGGGATCGAATCCCATGTCGGGCTCCCGGTGCATGGAGCCTGCTTCTCCCTCTGCCTGTGTCTCTGCCTCTCTCTCTCTCTCTGTGTGTGACTATCATAAATAAATAAATTAAAAAAAAATAAGGAAAATGTTTTATACAATTTAAAGCCTATTTTGTTTCAGTAACATAAACCTTGGCAATGATTTTAATGTATCTAGGAGTGATGATATATTGAAATGATGGGTTCCTTCATCTGTATTCAGGATATATCTTTTTGAGTACTTGCCTGTATGGTAGTGTTTGTTATGCCTTGCAGATAAAAAGTTGAGATATCTTTCTGCTTGGGAGTTAGGCAAGTAAACCATTGTAACATATTAAAAGTGATAAGTGATTTATTGGAGAAATAGATGAGGTTCCCTGGGGATAAAGAGGAGTTTCTTCCTGTCTCTGCAAGGGAGAAATCTGGTTGGTGAATAGTTCATAAAGAAGATGATCCTTGAGTTGCAACTGAGGATAGGTAGGGGTTTCTTAACAAGGGAGGGATGGGCATTCCACATTATAAATGATCACAGTTAGGCAGTGAAAGAATGTGGCCTCAGGAAGCTGTAGATAGGTTGGTGTGTTTACAATACAAGGTTAAAAATACGGAGGTGGTGAGAGATATAGCCAGGAAGTAGTCCCATCATGTAGAATTGTTTTCCATATTAGAGATTTTTGGCTTTTACCTTTTAGGTGAGGGAAGCTGTAGAAGATTTCAGGTTTAGGAGTAACGGTGCTGGGGTTGTGCTATAGAAGGTCCTCTTCAGAGCAATGGAGGACCCACTGGGAGAGAATGATGTGGAGACCAGAACACTGTTAAAATCGTCTACAGAGTGATAAATAATGGATTCAACCAAGGCTTTGGTAGTAGGAATGGTGGAAGGAAGGACTAAGAGATACTTTAGACAATTGAGAAGACTGGCAGAAAATGAAAATATCTGTTAACTGTTAAACCATATTTTTTTGTCATCAGACTCTTATGAGGTAGCTAGAATTGGCTTAACTATGTTTCCATCATTTTTGACAGTTCAGACCCTTATACGTGACTGTCAAGTTATCAGAGAAACCAAAGAAAACCAGATTACGGAGCTAAAAAAGATGTGTGAACAGAGTACAGAATCTCTGAATAATGATTGGGAAAAAAAGGTAAGCGTCATAAAATAAAATAATGATGGAAAATACAAAGGTTTATGCCTCAAAGTAATATATTTAATTATAAAAATAATGAATGTTTACAGAACATACAGAAAAGCATGAAAAAAGAAAATTAAAATAACTTAAAATTCAAGACCAACTGTCTAGAAATAGCTGCTGCTCATGTTTTGGTATATTTTCTCTAGTCTAATGGCTTATAAAGTAGTTTTCACTTAGAAAATTTACTTTTGATTTTATTTCTTTAATTTTATTTTCTGAATTTTTTGTTATAGCATATGGATTTTAAGAAAAATTAGGGAAAAAGCAGTAAGATAATTTTTGGAAATTTTAACTTTTTAATTTTGGACTTAGGCCACTGGATCATTTCTTTTCTGAAATTTCAGGTAACACAATATTTATAGTATAAACTTATTTTCGATGTAAACAAAATCAGTAGTGGATGGGTTATTCTTGGAGAAGCATTTAACTTAATTAAGAAAAATATTTTCATATAATTTAGTAGTGCCAAGAGAAATGTAATAAAAATACTTCTTATGAACGAATCTCACATAGTCATATAGTACTTTCTCTTAGGAGCCCTTAGCCATTAGTTCAAATTACAATATGTGTTTAAAATAAATTAGGTATGTCACTTCTTTTGAGGTATTCTATCATAAAGATAACTCATATTGTTAACTCATATTTCTCTTAATTATGGTCTGAATTCAAAATATTTTACTGACAGTTACAAGTGCCTTTCCAAGCAGATACTGTTGGTCTGAAATATGTCCTGGTGATGGCAGCTTTAGGATGAGTCTGGGAAGTACACTGCAGATATATTAGGATGCATAGAGTTCTCTCTTTTCTGATTTTATTTTGTCAATATCTGTGTTTTTTCCTCTTTCTCTTTTTTCGGTTTTATGTATTCTATAAATTTGGCATATTTTTGTGCTTGTTGCAGGTGCATTGTGTATATAGCAGGACCCCTTCCTTCTTTTGCCTGAATTCCCTAGTTCAGTTTAAATTGCCAAGTATTGGAAAAGTCTGCTATGTTCAAGGATACATTTTATTTCTTCCATCGGATTAACAAGTCTCTCTTACAGCTGCCTAATAATTAGTGGATATGAATGTTCTGCAAACGTGATTGAAAGTCTTTTTTATGAAGTACAATTGCATGTAAATATGAGAGAAAATGTGGTGCAAGATAGGTACCAAAAATTAATAAGCAGATGATAGATGTGCTTTGTGATTTATGTAGTTATTTGTTAAAAAATTATTAAGCATCTACATGGACAGGTGGTATGAGTGTGCATACATGTGCATGTATATTTATACACATGGGTGTATGGTGTGTGTGTGTGTGTGTGTGTGTGTGCATGTGTGTATGCTTGTGCCCGTGTGTGCATGTACTCCATAATGTCCCTAATAGAAATCTCCATCCCACCTTTTTTATTCCAAGTCCATTATACAACTACCTAGTTAAGATCTCTCCTTGACCTGAATCTCATTCTCTCCAAACCTCATTTTCTTCCTTTGTTGCTAAAATGATCTCCTCCTAGGGCTTTTCCCTGATTTCCTCTTCCCTGTGGCAATGCTATCTGCCCAGCTGCTTAGACTCTTCTTTTTGCCTTACCTATTACATCCAGTGACTTGCTAAATTCTACTTGTTTTGTTCACTCTACTTGTTTTGTTTTTCACCACTGTTTCCTCTCTAGTTCCAGAGACGATCACCCCTTCCTATATTTGCTCTAACTGGACTCTGCACCTCTTTAGGCCATGCCCCATAATAATACACCACACTGATGGTCTTTCTAACGCATATCTGGTTTCCCTCACCACCATGTTTAAATCACTCCAGTGGTTTTCCTAGTAGGAAATTTATGTGGCTCTTCATAACTGAGACTGTCTCTTTCAAGCCTCACCTTCTGTCACTACACTTGTACTTTTGTACTAGTTTCATGGAACTTTCCCAGTTATCTGACTATCACGTTCTTTCTAATGTGTGGACCTTTAAAAACATTGAAACATTGAATTATGATTCACACACCATAAAATTCACCCTCTTAAAATGTGTGTACAGTTCAGTGGTTTATACTTACAAGGTTGTGTGACCATCATCACTATCTAATTTCTAGGACATTTCTGTCACCCTAGAAAGACACCCATTGTCAGTCAATTTCCGTTTCCTCTTCCTCCAGCCTCTTGCAACCACTAATCTACTTTCTGTCTCTAGAGTTTTGCTTATAGAATCACATGCCATGTGGCATTTTGTGACTGACTTCTCTCACTTACCATGTTTTTTTGAGTTTCATCATGTTGTGGTATGAATCAAGAGTTCAGTCAGCATTAAAGCTGAATAATCTGTTGAATGGATATACTGCATTTTGTTTATCCATTCATCAGTTGGTGGGCATTTGAATTGATTTCATTTTTTGGATATCATGAATAATGCTACTATGAAAATTTATGTACAAGTTTTTGTCTGAACATATGTTTTCATTTCTCTTGGCTATTGTTTGGGGAAAAACACTGCTTGTGTTTTCCTTCACTCATATATTCATAATACTTCTGACTTCATATATGTGGGTTTTCTACACATCAGGCGATTTTCTTGGATACCAACTGGATGTTCTGTAATTCAACTAAATTTGATACTGTTTGCCTAGACTTAGTTGGTGTCAGATCCTACAAGATAAGGGCTAAATCCCACATCAGATGTCAGTCAAAAGTCCCAGATTGTTGCCTGTACTTCTTACCAAACAGCTATATATAGTAGTAACGGAAGCCCTTCTTGGATTCTGTGATTTGCTGGAATAGCTCACAGAACTTAGGGAAACATTACTTACATTCATTATTTTATTATAAAGGATATAATAGTAGATACTGATAAATCACCAGATGAAAAGATACACAGGGCTAGGGGCAGAGAATTTCCATGCCCTGTTCTGGCACACCACTCTCACATGAGTACCTTCATGTGTTCACCAACCCAGAATCCCTCCAAATCCCAAACTTTTAGGATATTTAGGGAGGCCTTATTATGCAGGCATGAGCAACAGTAAATTTAATATTCAGCTACTCTTCCCTTCCTAGAGGGTGGGGAGTAGGGCTGAAAGTTACAAGCTTCTAATCTGGCTTGACCATCTAGATCACCAGCCCCCATCCTGAAACTATCCAGGAGCCCATCAAAAGTCACCTCATTAGAACCACACACACTTCTTTCACCTAGGAAGTTCTAAGGGATTTAGGATCTCTAAATCAGGAGCCAGGGTCAAAGACCAAATATTAGAACAAAAGATGCTCCTAGTACTCTTATTACTTAGGACATTACAAGGATTTTAGCTTTGTGCCATGAAGTGGGGGCACAGACCAATTTATGTAATTCTCTGTTATTTCACAGGTATATACCTAGTAGTGGAATCTCTGAGTTACGTGGTAATTCTGTGCTTAACATTTCAAGGAACGGCCTGTTTTCCAAAGTGGCTACACCATTAACCTGTGGGCTTTTACAGTACTTACCCCATCTCTTTAGACAGATTGCTGATTTCTCTGGGTCCCTTCTAGCATGAGGCAACTACATGGCCAAATGTCCATATGTAGGATGCTGGTGTCCATATGTAGGATGCTGGGAGGGCCTTCTGCATCCCCTGTACCCATTGCCAAACCCTGACTAAAAAAAAAATGTATAGATCTCCTCATTATCAGTGCTCTGGTGGCATCCTGATGGCTTAATAAACCTTAGCAAGGTCTGTACTTCAGAGCATGACAAATATTTGCTGCTAAAACAGTATATCACTCAGGGGAATATTTGCCCTTTAAAGCCTCCCAGCCAAGTTGCCTGGACTCCAATTCATTGCTAGGTTTGGGAAAGCTCTCAGTGATGTATTATGCCTGGTATGTGGTAGATACTAATAAAATTTCTGGATGAATACTGGAGTATTAGTCATCTCCAGTCAGATTATTAGACTACATACACCTGTTTGATACTCAAAAGTATCAGCCAAATTAGAGCATACTTGTTTCTGCTGGTATCATGCTTACCCTTGCAGTCTTAACTATAAATTCCCTTGATGAAATAACTCTGACTTAGAGACACTCCTCTGGCTTCAGCAGGCACAGTCCCCGTGTAAATCAATTGTGGGATGCACCTGAGAATCCCAAAAGCACTAATGGATCACTAGATATAGTAGATTTGTAACTTTTGGTAGGCATATGTCCTAGGACCTCTGGGAGACCACAAACAAACCATTACAACATGCTTAAAGCCACAAAATTCTAAGTGACCCTTTCGATCATGTCAGTCAACAGCACTGAAATTTAGGTGCAGTGGGCTTAGCTACATTCATGTGCCAGCTAAGAGACTGACCTTTGACTATCAGACATTACACCAATTTAAAACAGACTTTGGCAAAAATATAAACACAACATATCAGGGATTTTGGGGACCACTCAAAAATAGCCCAAACTAAAAAAAAAAAAAAATGTCCAAACTGCATATGTTAAATTTGTGAAACCCAAGGGTCTTCTTTTGTGTGTGGCTGTTGCTGAGCCACTCTTCCTGTTCCCCTAGAAATGAGAAAAGTTCTTGGGGCTCTTCCCAGTAATGGGCTTAATTACTGACTGCATTCTACCTCGAGTTCCCACCATCTCTCAGGGTTTTCCCTGTTCGTTCAGTATCTTCTCAGTCAAATCAGAATCTACATGCATGTGTCTCTCCTAGTCATGAATGGGTTAATCAAATCTTTTAAACTCTTCTTGACTTCGTGCCCCCACCCCTGCCCCAGTTGAGTGAGCCTGGGGTTGGGTGCTGGGTTGGAGGTGGAGTGGGGAGTGGAGGTGGGGGTAGGGGTGAGGAGGTTGGTGGATAGGAGGATAGGAGGATAGGAGGATAGGCTCAGAATTTCACTTTCATTAAGATAGTGAGGGAATGCCCCCAGGCTGGGAACATATTTTTAACGCCCTTTGAAAGCTAGCCACTGAACCATGTTTTCTTTACCTTAAATTGATATTTTGTTGTTTCATCCATTTAAATGGTGGATACATTATCTTCATAAAGACCTATATACAGGTAGTATACAGTTCTACTTAGAGAACTCTTTTCCTATTTGATTTATAAATGACATCTTTAAATCTACTTTTGTATAGATTATGGAATGGGTAAAAATAGTTTCTTGTCAGGGGTTAGGGTGAAGGAAAAAACATTTTTAACATTACTCTTGTACAAAATTTTATGCAAATGAGATGAAAATCTTGGCAGTGAGATAATATTCCTAGTCAATAACAATATTATAAGCATTTCTATTTCCTGATTTTCAGGCAAATACTAGTGTTGTTCAGCTGAGGCATTGTGTTATCTGTACGATTTATTTACTATTTCTACCTGAAGTAGATAATTCCCTTTAATATTTGTTTATTCATTAAAATTTTCAGCTCAGGGAAGTGAAGAAAAAACTTGTTTCTTTTTTCTTTAAAGATTTATTTGCTTATTTTAGAGAGAGAGAGAGAGAGAGAGAGAGAGAGAGAGAGAGAGAGAGGAAGAATCTCAAGCAGACTCCCTGCTGATCATGGAGCCTGATGTGGGTCTCTATCTCTCAACCCCAATATCATGACCTGGGCCAAAGTCAGGAGTTGGATGCTTAACCGACTGAACCACTCAGGCACCATGAAAAAAACTGTTTATTAATCATGCTCTATATATCTTTACTTCGAATGTTTATTTATGAGTTTTATATCTTTTGTTGTTCAGGACCAAATAAATAGAGAAATATAAGAAAATTTTTTTTTCTGAATTGCAAAGTAGTTTCTTCTATCTTTAATAATAGTAAAAAAGTCACTTCTTGAATTCACTGTGTAGCTCCACAATGCTGTCGCAGAAATGGAAAAGGAAAAGTTTGATCTTCAAAAGCGGCACACGGAAAATATTCAAGAATTGCTCGAGGACACAAACGTGCGTCTGAATAAAATGGAGGGTGAATACATGGCACAGACACAGTCCACGGTGAGTCTTTTTTTTCCTTTTCTTGCTGTTTTAAGTAGCTATCCTATTAATCTCCATGACTCCATGCTTCCTCGATGTGTGCAGTGCATAAATAAATGTGTTATAGAATTAAAAAAAAAACGTTTTATCTTCTGACTTGATACAAAATTATATGTGACAATGGACAGCTCTTGAAGTCTGCTGTGGGATTTTGCTCTGGATTGTTCAGTGCCACTTTTTTTTTTTTTTTTTTGCTTAACCCCCAGAGGCCTTGATAAATCTTTTTTCTTGTTTTTTCACTGACTTTTAGGCTAGAGATCCTTCCTTCCTGTCTCCCTCCCTTTCTCTTTTCTTTTCTTCTTTTCTTTTCTTTTCTTTCTCTCTCTCTCTCTCTCTCTCTCTCTCTCTCTCCCCCTTTTTCTCCTTGTTTGTCTTTCTCTTTTCTTTTAATTTCATTTTGTTTTGTTTCATTTCAACTTGACCGAGGGACCAGACCCAGATATTGCATGGGTAAACCCTAAAAATTCCCTTCCTGAGAGGATGGAGAAGGAAGTCACCAGAATTCACTGCAGAGCGACCAGTAGCTTTCTCTAAGGAAACATGAAGGATTCCCCTCAAGAGAGGAGAATTGGGGAAGCAGCAGGCTGCAGAGGGTAGGTCTGAGAGAGTGAGCATCTTCAGCCTTTGAGAAGGTTGGCTGACTTCCTAAAATATGTAAGCCTGAAACAGGTAGGCTCATGGGCACATGGTTGGGGCTTCTCATATGTGAGGCAAGTACACTTCATCAGTCTTGTTCCTAATATATGATATGACCTTGCAGAATGGTAGAGCCTCATGTACTAGGCTTGAACACAGTTCTCATTTTCCACTCATGGTCCACCCCAGCCAGCCTGGCTTGGCCATGTACTTCCTTGAATTTAAAGCTGTGGAATTTGAACAAGAGTCAGTTACTTAGGCTTATCTTGGAGATCCCTAGACCAGTTCTACAGACTATCTCACAGGGTTAAAGAAATGGGAAGCAGAATCCATAGTGATTTGGAATTTGGGCTTTAGGGTCTTGGGTTCAAATCCCAGTTTACTAGCTTGAGTGCCATGTAAGTTCTTTATTCACATTGTAATTTTCCTCATCTGTTGGATAGAATAACAGTAGTACAGCGTAATATTTTTAAATTAAATATTTTAAATTTTAAAATTTTTAAAAGATTTTATTTAGGGGATCCCTGGGTGGCTCAGCAGTTTGGCTCCTGCCTTTGTCCCAGGGTGTGATCCTGGAGTCCTGGTATTGAGTTCCGTGTTGGGCTCCTTGCATGGAGCATGCTTCTCCCTCTGCCTGTGTCTCTGCCTCTCTCTCTCTCTCTGTGTCTCATGAATGAATAAATAAAATCTTTTAAAAATTATTTATTTATTTGAGAGAGAGCACCAGAGAGAGACCATGTATGCACACAAACTGGAGGAGGGGCAGAGGGAGAGGGAGAAGCAGACTCCCCATTGAGCCTGATGCAGGGCCTCAGGACCCCAGGATCATGACCTGAGCTGAAGGCATACCCAGCTGAGTCACCCAGGCATCCCTATGGTTGGATATTTTTAATAATTTAATACACATAAATTAAGTTACATAATAAGTGCTCAATAGATAATTTAATATTATCTTTGAAAATGTAACATATAAGAATGATAATCAAGAGAGACATATAAATGAGGACATGATGAATTCAAGAAGTTAACATTTGTTTGAAGATTGTGTTGGCCTCCATCCCCTCCCACAAAAATGATAGTAAAGGGATAAAGAAAAAGGTATAACTCAGAAGGGCAAATAGCATTTAGCAGTAATGAAATTTTTGGAGTTAGAAAGGCAGTGAGTGAACGGAAACTGACTTGTTCAAGAAAGCCGAATCCTAAACTAGCACTGTAGAAATCTACAAGCAAACTGGGTGATACCAGGGCTTAGGACTCGTCAGCACTGGTTGCCTCTGGAAGAGGAGGTGCAAGTGGTACTTCAACACACTGGATTCCTAGAAAGTTTGTTTCAGAAGCCACTATACGTTGATTTTGGGTGCTGGACACAAGAGGATTTATCATACTATTCTTTCTATTTTTATATATGTTTGAAATGTCCCATAATAAAACTTTTTTAATGATAAAATTAGCAACCCAAAACAAACATCTTTCTGCCACCTGCACCCCACCCCTCTTTATGAAGCATGGGATATTAGCAGAAGACACAAGATTATTTTCTGAAGAGATTTCTTACCACAGCAGTTCTCAAAGTGTGCTGAGCACATCCTGATAGTCCTTGAGACTCTTTAGAATCTTGTGAGTGGCCAGATTATAGATTCTAACTCTTTCCACCCCCCACTACCCACCCCAATAAAGGAAGAACAACAAAAACTTAGGTCACTTATAAGGGGAAAATATTAAGCTTCCTTCAGATTTTCTCACCTCAGTGTTTGGTGCCAAAAGACGATAGAAAAACATGAAGAGAGAAACAGAACAAGAAGCGTGGCCTAAAATGGTTTTTAAGTAGAGGATATGAGTAGTTTTGAACATCAGCATATCTTTGATTTTTGATTTTTATAAATTTTAAATGTCACTCTGATGTCTCTAGATGTGAATTTTTTGGCATTATTGGAGCCCTTTAAATCTGTGTTCAGAGAAATTTATTTCTGTTATTCCTCCAAAAAGATCTGTCCTTCCTACCTCTTAGGTCTTTTCTTTGTTTTCTCTCTTTATATTTCCTTCCTATTCTCTGCTCCTAGGATGGTTTCCTGTTCAGATCTTACTCTGACCAATTAATTCTTTAGTAGAATTCCTTCTGTTTTTTGTGTCTATTATACCTTTTATTTAGCTATTATATATTTTTTCACATCCAGTATTTTCATTTGCTGGTGGCTTCCTCTTCTACCTCCTCCTCTTGTTTTCTTCTTTTTTCAAGCAGAATGCATATATTCACACATCACATATGTGGTAAAGGATAGACATCCAGAATATATAAGGAGCTCCCACAACTCAACAATAACAGTTTCTGGGGCGCTTTACCCTGAAGCTCACCCCCTCCTCTCTATCAAAAGTATAATAAGCCCAACAGACATATATTGTCTATTACAAAAACATTCCAGGCATTATAGTGGATACTTGGAGCTGTAGTGGTGACCAAAAAGTCCTATCCACAGTGCTCACATTTTTGCGGAAGTGACAGCCAATAAAGAAATATAAATGTCCAGAGGTGTTAAGTGCTCTGATGAAAAAGAATTCAATGTAAGACACACTTTGTAAATGGGGGTGATTTTGTCCTCAAGAGGGTGAGATTGGTTGTTGGGATAAAAAACTTTAGATATTATAATGGTTTGTGAACCTCCATTGGACACAGTTTATAAATGGTAAGTCTGCGGTATTAAAATTTCATGGTAGGGTACAATTAAAAGAAAATCTATCTAAAGAGTCTCCTTATTAAGGGGGCAAAATTAAAAGAAAAAAATAGGCTGAGCTGCACTGGTGTAAGGGGATAGGATAGAAGAGGTGCTACCACAGGTAAGGCAGTCACGGAAAGTCTTTCTGAAGGTGGGGTGTTTACAGAGAGATCCAAGGAAGTATTGGAGGGAGCCATGTGATTATCTGGGAACAGCATTTCAGGCAAAAGGAACAGCCAGTGCAAAGATCCTAACACTGGGATGTGTTGGGCATGTTCCGAAAACAGCAAGGGGGCAGTGTAGACTGAGCAGTGGGAGCAGAATGGGGAGTGTTAGGGAAGCAGATAGGGCACAAATCAGACAAAGCTGTATAGATGGTTCTAACTGATTCGTTTGTTGTGGTTGTTGTTTTGTTTTTGTTTTTTAAACAGCTTTACTGAGGTATAATTTATATATTACAAAATTATTTTAAAGTGTATACAATTCAGTGAATTTTTAATATATTTGTATTGAATTTTTAATGGGTTGAGCACAAGGAGGTGATTCCATCTGACTAATATTTTAAGCATGTCTCTCTGGCCCTGTGCAGAGAAGAAGTGTAAGGCCCAAGAATGGGAGCAGGGAGACCGATGAGGAAGCTAATTTTTATACTCTAGATAAGAAAGGGGCTGGCATGGACATAGGTATCAGCAGGCAAATGATGATGCTGTTCAGTGCAATGCTGGAGGTGGATCAGGTTTATTGGGGTAAAAAATAAAATCAAGAATTTATTTTCTGGATAATCAGTATAACGATGCATTTCAAAGTCATGAACAAACACCAAACTTGTATCTGAAATACATTTTTGTCATCTCAGCATGCTAAATTTTTGCAAACATGAATTAAACATCTTAATTTTGTAAGTTGAAATTTGTGAAACATATTGATTGCCTAAAATGTTGACTATGTAGTTATATTTTATTAAGTAATATAAGAGCAATATTTTTCACAGTGGAATTTTTAGTTTTTATACATTTGGGATGTAAAGAAAAGTGATGCTTTGGAGCTAAGCGGTTATTGTCAGGGAAACTTCATTCTATTTTTAATGAAAGTTGAAGTTAAAAATTAGCATTCAAACCTTGTCATTAGGTAACAGTAAATATAGAGAAAAATGGACAGAGTCTGTCAGCAGGATTGAATTTAAGAATCATCAAAACTAGACAGATCTTGCTGAGCAGCTCCTGATTTAATAATTAAATAAGATAGAGTTCAAGGCATGGCTTAAGATGAAAGATGGGACTGTCACTGAGAATTAGTTTCTCTGTTTTGTTCTTTCAGGCCTTTTCTTTTCTTTTCTTTTCTTTTCTTTCTTTCTTTTTTTGTTGAGTCTTGTTTTTTTTTAATTGCCATTTATTTTAAGCAGATGACTTATATAGATTATTAGACTTATGTCCTTTGATATTGGCAAGGATTTTCATGTGTGAAATTCATAAAACATGTAAACAGTGAATTTTTAAAATAAGATATTAGAACTTCTAAATATGAAAATTATAGCAAAATTACCAGATGCTTGGGAAGGTGACAGCTGTAAAATATAGGGCTCTATTCATATCAGCACTTAGACACACTGGAAGT